GGGATTTTTATTGATCTCTTCCAATCTGTTGGCCATTGTTTTGTTTTCCATATCTGCTGACATAATAATAATAATAATAATAATAATAATAATAATAATAATAATAAATTTTTATTTATAGCCCACCCCTCTGCGTGGCAAATGGGGCGGGGTACAACGAGTTAAAAGACATAACAAGTTAAAAAACATTCCCTGTTCCCATAATCTCACCCTCCCACCCCTTAAAATAGAATTAAACTACAAACCAATTTTAAAAAAATGCCACATTAATTAAAATTAAAAATAATATGTTGGTTAGCTTAGAGTTGACTCTGTCAATATGGATTGCAACAGTTTTCTCAGATAAAAATATAGTGTTTTTGTTATTTGTATTTTTTTGACATTCATGAGGGTCTTGTGCCCCTAACTCCAGCAAATGTAGAGGGACAAATGTACTAGTATTAACCAGTAGACACAAGCCTACACGCATACTAATGCATTAAAGTAAAATCCGCTAAAATGCAAAAGTACATATTATCAGGCAGCATACTGCACACCAGATCAAAGAGACCTAACTTCTAGCATCCTTTTTTCAACAATTAATAATCAATCCAGCCCTGGGTAATTTGTCTGTGCATAGTAATAACAGCTGCACAGAATCGAGTTTTGATCTCAGTTATTTGAGAGTCTACATCTTTGTGCAGTAATGTTAACTAATAATTATGGGAAGTTTCAAGGTTTCTTGAAATAGCAGGATCTGGTGTATTTAGGGTGAATTTTAGTAAATGATTAAATACCATAATAATAATAATAATAATAATAAGTTTTATTTATAGCCCGCCCCTCTGCTAGGCAATCGGGGCGGGTTACAGCATTTTAAAACAGCACAGTTAAAAACATTCCCTCCAAACATGATCCCTCCACCCACCCCTTAAGACAAGATTAAACCAAAAAATAATTAAAACAACACAAGAATAAATTAAAAACTCAATCCGGAGTCAGTGGTCAATGAGCAAGTTGTCCCTCTCCATGGACAGAAACACTTTCCTGTTTCTCTAAAGCAGTGACCCATTCACCCTCTCCTATAGTACTGCTGTGCGAGTCCTATAAGGGAGGCTAAGTGTATGAATCCTGCATTAATATCCAGCTTGGATTCCTCACTAAGCATGTAAGTACATAGACTTGAGGCTTTGGGTCAAATAGTTGGACTTGAAGCTACTTGAGTCTGTTATTCTTAAAACAGCTAATGTCTTGATCTGCACAGACTTGAGCTCCATAAACAGTGTCAGTTACTGAGACAAAGAATGCCGCTATGCAGTGACCATACATGCTGTGCATATTATTAAAAAATCAGTATTCCTACGAGGCAAGAGAACATGGATGCAACAAACTTGGACAATAATAGATGATTTAGGCAAAGATTCAAAGGACATTTTTGAAAATACTTCTTACAACAAAAGTATAGAGAAGATACTGAAAAAATCTTGCAGTCAGTCCTCTTTCTATACATAATAGTCTGCTCCACTTAAGAGTCAAGGTATACTTCTAAAAATGAATGACTGTACTTTACAAATTATTCCTGTATCAACAATAAAGCCACTACCGAGAATTAATTCTAAGCATGATATTATAAATATGAAGTTATGACAGCAAGCTGAAAAATGCATTGGATTCCCCCACATATAAGATATATATCAAAAATACTTAATGCAAGCTGTGATCCAACATGCTCATAATTTTTTAAGGCCAGACAATGTCAACTATACAATAATCTGGGCTATGGGTTTCCACATAATTACACAGGTTGAGTCTCCCTTATTCAGAATTCTGAAATCTGAAATATTCCACAACCCAAAACATCTTTCATACATGGCTAAGATAGTGATACTTTTCTTCCTAGTGGATCAATATGTACAAACTTTGTTTCATGCACAAAATCATTTAAAAAATTGTATAAAATTACATTCAAACTATGTGCATAAGATACAAAACATAAATGAATTTTGTCTTTAGACTTGGGTACCATCTCCAAGGTCTTATTGTGTCTGTATATGCAAATACAGGTATTCTGAAATCCCCCCAAAAATCCAAAATCCAAAACACTCCTAGTCCCAAGCATTTCACATAAGGGAGACTCAACATGTAGTCCAAAAGTGTCAGGTAAAGTTCTAGCACTTTACTGGATTAGGAAATACTTCCTACACCAGGGGTAAGCAACCTTTTTGAGCCGGGGGCCGGGTTGCTG